CTGGGGGGCGGGGCAGGTAGGGGACGCATTCATTACACCTAAATCTGAAGTTGGCATCTAAGATATCACTTGGATGGGAAGATTTTCTGAAGCTCCCTTGCAGCTTGCTGGGCGTTTTCCTGCGGCCGCAGTGCTTTTTCAGCTCATTTCTTTATGCTGCTGTTTCCCACTGATCTGTCATGCCCGAAGCTATCTGGTTACTGCCCTAGGTGCTCGAATCAGGGTGAATTCCACGAGATTCACTAGCGGTTTTGTTCCAGTCCAAGGTAAATACAGTATGCAAAATGAAGAACCAACAAAGGATGCCAAGGAGGGGGGAGAAAGGGATTCCCTCACCTTTTCCCGCACATTCCTCGTTAATTTCCACCAGGAGGAGGCGCGCAGCCCAGATACCCCCAGTCTGCTTTCTTAAATCTTCCTGCCGAGGACTTCCAAGGTTGGGCGCACGGTGTAAGTCCCTCGGGCCGGCCTGGCTCTCCCCCGCCCCCGGGGTTGGTTTTTCCCAGTTGTGGAGGTTGGGCCAGGGGCTGGCGGGTTCCAGGAAAGTCAGCACTGGCAGCTCAGAGCCGGAAAGTCGGCGCGACTCTGGTGGGACTAGGAGTCGTCTTGGGGCTGGTGGACCCGGAGGTGAGCGGTTGGGAACCAGCTGCACAGGCGAGAACCGGGAGGCAGCGCCAGGGCTCTTCCCCATTTTCAGGCGGGGGTCCAGGGTTTCACTAACGCTTTGTTTGTGGTCTCTCCCTTCCCCTTTGGAAATGACTTGAACCCCCTCAAGAATCCAGGGGCTGGAAGAGATGCGAGCTGGGGTGGAGGGCGGCGGCAGGGGGAATCGCAAAGCCCTCCACTTCCTGCTTATCCCAGAAGGGACTAAAAGAGATGAAAAGACTCTTGCAACCTGAAACTTTCCTTTTATCCTAACCTGGATCTGAGGAGCGGTCCGGGGTGGGGACGGAGACCCGGAAGGCTTGTTCTCCACGGAGGCTGTGGGAGAGTGAGAAGTTTGGTCGGGAGGGCACTAGAGGATTTAGCCAGAAGTTACGCACAAGGGGGGGGGGGCGAGTTTGATCTCGAAAAAAGGAGGGAGGGAGGCTGGATATATCTATCGATAGATATATCCAGAACAGAAGCAAGACTGCGCTCCTGTCTCGGGATGCGCGCCCCTCTCCCGGGTAAGGATGTGCGTCGGGCTGGGGGAGGTGAGGCCCACACTGGCTTTCGGAGGGAGGTTTGGGGACCGAGTGGGGACAACTTGGCTTGGATAGGCAGGTTCCTGCGCTCGGAGAGCTGCGGTCTCCGTAGCTCCTCGCGCTTATCTACCGCTTGTCCCCAGGTCCTGAAGCTGATCCAGCGTGAGGCACCAACAAAAGAGACCAGAGGTGCCACTGGGGGCAGCGGCGGGAAGAGGAGCGCGAGTTTGAGTGTCCTGACTCGCCGTGCGTACTTTCTGGAGGGAAAAGGGGCGGGGGAATCGCCCTGGCTGGGGAACGCCCGCTGGCAAGGAGGGGTTAGCCAAGTTCCGGTTGCGGCGTCCCTCCTCCGCTCCCACGGGAGGAAAGTTTTCTCCTTAAGCTTCCTGCTGACCCCATCCCCTCCGGGCCCAGCTTCCGAGCATTCGGAGCGGGCGCCATCCCAGGCCGACTCCTGGGAGACCCGTGCCGCGATGTCTGGGGGGTGCTCCCGGGGCCCCCGCGCGGGGGATGCGCGGCTGCGGCTCGCGCGGCTGGCGCTGGTCTTACTGGGCTGGGTCTCCTCGTCCTCGCTCACTTCCTTGGCGACGTCCTCCACCTCCTCTGCAACGTTCCTGGCTTCCGCGGTGTCTGCCCAGCCTCCGCTGCAGAGCCAATGCCCGCCGCCTTGCGAGTGCTCCGAAGCGGCGCGGACGGTTAAGTGCGTTAATAGTGATCTGACCGAGGTGCCCGCGGACCTGCCCCCTTACGTGCGCAACCTCTTCCTCACTGGCAATCAGCTGGCAGTGCTCCCAGCCGGCGCCTTCGCCCGTGGACCGCCGCTGGCCGAGCTAGCCACGCTCAACCTCAGCGGCAGCCACCTGCAGGAGGTGCGCGCTGGAGCCTTCGAGAATCTGCCCAGCCTGCGCCAGCTCGACCTCAGTCACAACCCTCTACGCAAATTCAGCCCCTTCGCTTTCTCCGGCAGCAACGCCAGCGTCTCGGCCCCGAGCCCCCTGGAGGAACTGATCCTGAACCACGTCTTGCCCCCTGTGGATAAGGAGGAGAAGTGGAGCATTGAGGGTATGGTGGCTGCTGCCCTGAGAGCTGGCCAGGTGCTGCGTGGGCTCCACCGCCTGGAGCTCGCCAGCAACCACTTTCTCTACCTGCCCCATGATGTACTGGCCCAGCTGCCGGGCCTCAGGCACCTGGACCTGCGCAACAACTCGCTGGTGAGCCTGACTTATCTGTCCTTCCGAAACCTGACACACCTGGAAAACCTCCACTTGGAGGACAATGCCCTCAAGGTCCTTCATAATGGCACCCTAGCAGAGCTGCAAGGCCTGCCCCAAGTCAGGGTCTTCCTGGACAACAACCCCTGGGTCTGCGACTGTCACATGGCGGACATGGTGACCTGGCTCAAGGAGACAGAGGTAGTGCAGAGCAAAGCCGGGCTCACCTGTGCATTTCCGGACAAAATGAGGAACCGGGTCCTCCTGGAACTCAACAGCTCTGACCTGGAGTGTGACCCTATCCTTCCTCCATCCCTGCAGACTTCTTATGTCTTTCTAGGTATTGTTTTAGCCCTGATAGGCGCCATTTTCCTACTGGTTTTGTATTTGAACCGTAAGGGGATAAAAAAGTGGATGCATAACATCAGAGATGCCTGCAGGGATCACATGGAAGGGTATCATTACAGATACGAGATCAATGCGGATCCCAGGTTAACAAACCTCAGTTCTAATTCGGATGTCTGAGAAACATTTAAAGACAGAACAAGGACAACTGCATGAGATGTAGACTTAATTAAGCTTTATCCTGTCTTAGGCTTGCTCCACCTCTACCCTCCACTGTAGACACCGCTGACTTTGACTGAAAGCAGTGAAGGAAATTTGCACCCTTGTCATGTAAAGTGACTTGGTGTGGTATGCTGATATAAGATGATGAACGATTACATAGTCTTTTACCCTCTTCCCTTTCCTGGAACTCAACACGTGAGGAGGGATTTTTCAAATTTCAGCATGAACTCCTGGCTGTCTGTTTCTCTTAGTACAGTTCAAGGTGTAACAAGTGTACCAACACAGATAGCATTCAACAGAAGCTGCCTCAACTTTTTTGACAAAAATACTCTGTTCATAAGTATCAGTTTTCTTCTCATGTACCTAAATTGTGAAGAAAATGATTGCATTCCATAAACTGCCTGCAGACCTTAGCAAGCTCTTCAAAATAACTCCATAGTACCCAGGAGCACCTGCATCCAAGAGCATGCTTACATTTTACTGTTCTGCATATTACAAAAAATAACTTGAAACTTCAGATAACTTCTTTGACAAAGTAAATTACTTTTTTGGTTGCAGTTTATATGAAACTATACAATTGTTTTACAAACTGCATTGAGATCCAACAGGCTAAATTGTTAAAAAATTCAATAAAGATTCTTAAAAGAATTACAGTTGTGTTAAAGTTTGCTATTTGAAAAAAAAAAAGGATTGGGGCAGTGATACTGAAGGCCCTTCCCATGATAATTCAGGTATCAGCTGAGAATGAAATCAGAGCAGCATCTTACATAAGGAGACTTTGGAGATAATTTTGAGATGGTGGAGCCTCTCAGGATTTAAGGAGAGAATTTGAATATTCATGTGAATAGATTTATGGGCCCCAAATTAATTCTATTAAAGAAGCAATTTTGTGAGCATTATAAAGTTGGTAAGAGGGAAGAGTCCTATATAATAAACAGTTCATGGTTTGGGGCTTTTTAGATTAATTAAGTTTTTAGGATAGAACAAAATTTTATATAGTTAATAAAACTCTCCATATGAAATTGCTCAATGGGTGTCTGGAGTATGAAACAAATACAGTGCAAATTAATGTATGAAAATGAAGTGTGTAAAAATAGAATGTTTTAAAGATTTTCATAAATCTTTATGACATAAAATATTATTAAAGATTTTAAAATGTAAATTAAAAAATTTTCCTAAGATCATAATGTAAATTGGAACTTAGACTTTCTTGAGAATATTTAAAAAAAATATTTGGACAGTTTATCAGAGACCCTGCTAAATATGTTTAAGAATTTGTTATGCTAGGATATGAGTTTAAGGAAGTACCCAGAGATGAGTGTCTGTATGCACAGACAAGGGTCTCAGCTGATCATGGGTTCTTATGTTCAGTTTCATATTTAAGAATTGGGGGATAATTTGATTTTAGCTAAGCTCTATGTTGGTACATACACCTTTGTGAAGAATAAATCACATTTAGGTGTAAATAAAGCAATCGGTTTATCAATTGACATTCTCAGTAATAGACAAGCTTTTCCCTTTCTCAAAGTTTATTATTTGCCAATTAAGCTTACTAGTAAATTCCATTAATCTCCAAATGACTTTAATTTAGCCATTATTATTTAACATGAAGTGTGATAAACTTGTATCAGTAAGTCTTAGGGCCTTCTTTCTTTCCAAGTTATGTTCTGCAGTGTTTTATATTTGAAACAAAATTTATATTTCCATATTTTTATAAATGAAATAAGATTAGATAGTACTTTGAATTCTAGAAATCTTTGCCTATTCCTTTTTTGAATTAAATTCAGAAGTTTTCAAAATGGGGCAAAAAACATGAATCTGTTCTTTGTGTAGATTAGACTAAATAGTTAGAATATGAAGTTTTAACCACATTAACTTTTATACAGCTCATTTTATGAAGTATTAAGTATTATAGTACTCATTATTTAGAGTTATATTTCAGATCTTATAATTGCCCGAGAAAAGGTTAAATATATGGTACTTAATGTTCCATTAAACATTTTAAGTTTTCAGCAGGAATTCATAAACTACCTGGCTCACTATTTTCCAAAAAAAGATGGAGATGTTAGCTTGCCAAAAACTGAAAACATGTAATAAGAGCACACACCTCTTAGAAATAAACTGCTGATGGACTTGCACTGGTAAGTCTGCTGATTTGTAGAAAACAACAAAAGTATAATGTTTAGAGAGTTTCTATTCAAAAGAATTATTTCTTCATCATGTGATAACCTAACAGTTAAAAACTGGTCTTTTTTCACCTTAGACCCAGGAAAGCAATAGATTTATTCATCTAGTGTTTCTCTTCATCAGTTCACTGAAGCTGAATTTGCGATTAGATGAAGCCCAGTTGTCACCTTTTAGGTGGGTGGCTCTTTTGAAGTTATGATTTCTTGCTTCTTCATTCTCTTGCTTCATTCTGTGTATGAACTTACCTGTTTGCCACTGTCATGTCACTCCGTACTATTCCAATATGTGGCAATAGAACATTCTTAAGGTAAAAAGTATTACTGTTTGAAAACAATTGCTGTTGTGCAATCATAATACTCATTATAATCTAATAAGGCACGTTTAGTTCCTTGGAAGATAGGTACTATATAAATCCAATAAGTACGAGGGATATGGGAAAAATGAAATTAAAAGTGTCCACTTTAAGTATACTAGTTTTAAACACTGTTCTTTAGTACCATTATGCATTATTGTCCTTGAAACCTACAAGCAATCTATTTTTAAATGTTTATTTTGGTTGATAATGCACTTTATTACTCACCTTAATGAAGGTTTCAGAGAGAACACCCCCTCATTTATCCTTTATATGCTTCATTTAAGGAAAGAAAAAAAATACAGGTGTTGCCTGCTAGCTGAAAGTAGAGTGTTCCTGTGAATCCTTTCGTACGCTGAAATGGTATAAAGTGAAGAAGAAATTACCATTATTTTAAAAGCAAAAACTCTTTGGATTTCTTCTGGTTAGCAGGAACAGGTAGGTTTCTCCTAAAAGCGAGCTGGCCTAACTCAAACTTTTGAAAATCGGGGGTGGACGCCTATATTTAAAAATTTAAGCACTTGATAAATTCCTCAATTTAAAATACTATTAAAGTGTCCAATAAATCTCTATTTAAAGTGGCAAGATTTTACGATGACATATGTATTTAACCTTGAATTGTAACCCCCCCTTACAATGTAACCCTTGGTTTGTAGCATTAATACAGGGGTTGGCAAAAGTAGGTTTACAGTTGCATTGTGACATTCTTTTGAGTGAATAAAGGTAGTGTAAGAACCATAACCTGCTTGTCTTTCCATAGGAACAACTGCAAACCAACTTTTGCCCACCCCATGCATGTATCATCAGTTTTGCTACCGTGTGTGATTATGGCGACCTGTATGGGACATTTGTGCCTTATAGCTGATATTTTTTTTCTTACAAAGTAAGTAGACTTTGAAGCACATTTGATAAAAAATTTTTGAGAGAAAAAGAGCTACATAAATTCATACTATCAATAATAGACAAGATTTTTTTCAGGTGGGGAAAAGCTTTTTTGAAATAAGTGAGCAAATCACAAATGGTAAATTCTTTTTTTAAAAGATTTATTTATTTATTTATTTATTTAATTTTTAGAGAGGGGAAGGGAGGGAGAAAGAGAGAGAGAGAAACATAAATGTGTGGCTGCTTCTCACATGGCCTCCATTGGGGACCTGGTCCGCAACCCAGGCATGTGCCCTGACTGGGAATTGAACCTGCGGCCCTTTGGTTCACAGCCCCGTGCTCAATCCACTGAGCTACACCAGCCAGGGTAACAAATGGTAAATTCTTTTAAAATGTCTTGATTGGCAGCAAAAGTGGATTATGCTCACGTCAATATTTAAGTAGAAATAACTTACATCTTCATTTTCTGTCTTTTTAATTAAAGCAGATGTAAAAAGAAAAGGTGCAAATGAACTGTAAGTGTTTCTGTTTCACTATGTCCCTTTTGGCCTAACATTCCAACACAGGGCTTAGCATTCTTGAGGACATTAGAGGCTTTTCGGCTCTAGTTTGGGAATCTTTGGTATCATTTCTGCTTTCCATTTAGATTTTTCTCTGAAGCCTACACTAAAAGAGACACCATGAGGATTTACAAGGTTAAGAACAGTTTGGTACGTGCTTTCTTCCTGCTCCCGCATGTATTCAATCATCCAGCCTTCAGAGAGCAGCATCCTAAAGTAAAGATGGACATTTAGTAGAGGGGATTCTGGTTTCACTTTTACACTTTTGCAAGGATTTTTCACAATAAAGGAGGGAAGGGAGGAAATTATATTTCTATATAATTTGAAATCGTTTAAGAAAATATATTCCTTATTGTCCAGAGATACTGCCTCCTTGTAGATGGGAAAAAAACAAAACAAAATCCCAAAACAGCTCTTTGAGAACGTTTCATACAGTTATTTTTCTGTCTTGTTTTCAGAAATATTTGATTTAAAATTACAGGCTGGTTTTATTTTGTGTTTTATCTTAAGATATTTTAGCAGCTCTACTTTGTCATGGGTTAAAAATAACTAGATTTTAAAAAATATTTAACATGATTTATATCATTTTGACAAGAATAAGAATTCTTAGCATTGCAGAATTGGAAGGACTCTCAGCTGTGCCAAGCCCAGTTTCTCATTCTACAGATAAAGAAACTGGCAGTTTCTTTAACCCAGTTTCTCATTCTACAGATAAAGAAACTGGAAGTGCTGACCAGTAGCGTCGTGTTACCTGACACCAGGGTTAGACCGCAGTTCCAGGCTCCCCTTCTAGTGCTCCTTTTGCCACGTGATGGTGACAGTGTTACTACCTGCTCTTAGCCCTGTGAAATACCCCAGGCTAATAAAAAATGGCAATTGCTCTGAATTCGTTTTATGTTTTTTTTGTTTTGCACTTAAAACATTCACTATTTCAGTTTGCTCTAAATTTCACTTCTAATTTGTAAAAATTACTATGTTTCAGATTCCTGATATGCTTATATATGTTTGGGATAATTTTGTCATGGCAGTCTTTTTATTATAAAGCTTCTCTGAGTCCATAATAGGGAACATTTTTGACATTTAATGTTGGTAACTCTTTTAAAAAGAAAAATAAAATTCTGGGAGGCTGTGCTAACTTGTGTAAATTTTATCTTTTAAGATGAGTTAGCTCAGCTGGTGGGAACACTAAACAAATGAGACCAAGTTCATTGCCACAGTCATTCAGTTACCAGGTGAGACAGGCAGCTTTGCATACTCTGGTCTGCTCTCCACACCCACGCCCACTCCAGGTGCTTGTGAGCCACCCATCCTCGGAGGGCCTAGACCAAACAGGGAATTTAAATCAATGTAAATCCTTTATCACCCTGGAAAACCAGTGGAGGGACTGGCCAAACCTTGGCAGCACTGCTGCTGAGATGCCAGTTTGCCACCCACATATGCAGGCTTGGAGATGAGAGTCCCTCTGTTCTCATGCTGTAGTATGTGAGCCACAGATCACAAGGCTTTTCATTTATGTGAAGTTTGAGGGGAAAAAAACATCATGGGTGCCTCTGAATGTATTACATGGGAAATTAATTAGGTTTGCTTTACTACTGGAAATGAGGTTTAAGACACAGGTCATGATTACTATATTGCAAACTTATACACAAAAAACAAATGCGGTTTATGTTTAGCTGACATTTTGTGACCATGGGAGCTGTTTGTGGTTCACAGTTTAATTTGGTTAATGTAAGGACACAATTTATTTTAAGGAAGCAAAGGCTTAAGACCAGTTTTACTTTTTGTGAAAAGTAAATATTTAATAACATGTTTTAAAGAACCCAAGGATGCTATCAAGATAGGCTTATTTCTAAAATGGAAGTTTATAGATTTCCTGACTCCACTTTCCCTGCACAGTCCTATTTCTACTCCTTTTTGTATTCTTCCCCCCAAGAGAACTGTGATACATAGCATTTCAAGGTGACTTCTTGCACACAAGAGAATTAGACTGATTGAAATATTAACAGTGTACAAATATACATTGTTCTGTGTGAAACAGTTTCAGTTTTACAACACAGTAAATTGTTTTCAAAGAAAACTTCATCTTTCGATTAGACACATTTTGTGGTTATTCTTACAGATCATGGCAAACTCATGCCTATAAACTCTTGAAAGACACATTTTTACATTAACTTATGTTTCTTGTGGAGTATTTAAAAATACAAGGGGCAGGGGGCACCATGAATAATCCTATCACTAAGGAAAAGGTGCATTAATATTGAGATAAACTGCCTTCTGTTTATATAACATTATATCTTGCCTTTTCACTTACAAAGTTGTGAACATTCCCCACTATCATTGAAAAATATTTTAATATCTGGTTTTCAAGTGTTGGAGACAATCGTATATTTTTTACACATGAGGATGTTTCAAACTTAACTAATGTTCTAAAGAGCATTATACCTACGTGTGTTTTTATAGCTCCCATTTTTCCCTTAAAGTAGGTCCTTGAAGGAGAATTACTGCATCAGAGGGTATAATCTCTTTTTCATAACCTCTAAAAAATATTTTTGGTGTATAGTTACAGTAGGAATATTAAATGTAAATCATAATTCACTATATAGTTTAGGAAGACTCATGTCAAGGACAGGATTTTTAACAGAAAGAAACATTAAGTTGCTAATTAATCTGTCACTTTTTAATTCACAAATGTCTACTCTTTGTTAAAATAACAAAATTAGAGAATAGCTAAACTCATATCCCAGTTAGGAGAGAGAGAAAGTGGGGAGAGAGGACAGGGAGAGAGGCAGGGAGATTACCTAGTTATAAGTTAGCAAGTAGTTTTCAAGACACTATGCCTTGACCTGGATTCTACTCTTTTTAGATGATTTTTCTGTGTGTACTTAGAACTAATTCTGAGTTCATATCTGTGATTTAATTGTGCTAATCTTACTGTTAATTTGCTTCCAAATTTTAGTGAAGTCCTATAAACCATTTATTTGGTTCATTCAATTGATATTTATTACATGTTTTTTATGTACAAGACACTGTTGTTGCACTAGATTAAAAAAATAAGTTTCTGAACTCATAGATACAGAGAGTATTTTGATGGTTGCCAGATGGGAAGGGGGTTGGGAAGATAGATGAAAAAAATGAGTTTCTGACATAAAAATTGTTTCTGATCCAATAGAACAAGTAATGTTAACAGCTAACATTTTATAGAGTGCTTAGTATGAGTCAGGCACCAGGCAAAAATCCCTTCATGTGTTAAGATCTTATTTTCTCTCATTTGAAGAGGAGGTTGAGACTTAGGACAGGTGATCTGCTCAAGGACAACTAGGTAGCCAGAATCCAGTGTGGGATTTTTAAATTTTTTTGTCTATTTCCAGGATCCATGCTCTCAAACTCTGAGCTGTAAGAGCAGTGAGATGTTAATGACTTTCTTCTAGAGTAGAACATGATAAAACACTACCAGAAATTCAAATAGTATGATATGGGGTTCAAAGCAGGGAAAGAGTTTGGTTGGGAGATGCAGAAAACAAGTTCATGGAGGAGGTAGCTTTTAAGATGATCTTGAAGAAGAGGTAAATAGAGATGGTGGGTACAAGAAAGAACTCAGAACAGAGGGAACTGCCTAAGCAAAGAGGATGTTCTGGGAACAGTAACATTTGAAGCATTATGTCTGTAAAGGAGAATAGTGGAGAGTGGACTAGAAAGATGAATCTGTAGCTGTGGTAAATAGTTTCTATTTAATTCAGTGGATGGTGGGGAGCTGTTGGAGATTTAGGAGCAGGGACATGACATGCCTAGATGCAAGTGTCCCTTTGAGTATGAGACCAACACCCCAGACTCATGATACCACACATGTATTAAAGAGAAGACAAAAAGGTTTATTACTCCTGTTACGGGATTATCTGGGAGAGTAGGGTCTGGCTATGTTTTGTGTGTGTGTGTGAATAAGGGGTGGGGCCAGAATGAGGGTTAGGGTTTTTGTGGTTTTAACTATGAAGCATGTGCCAAGCGATGAAGCTTATGGGCCTTCTTATGGCCTTGCTCTGATGTGGGACAAAAAGTGGGAGGTGGGGGGATGGTGCTTGAAAGCTCTCAGTACTCAGACATCACAAATGGAGTCAAATTCAATTATAATTCACCATTGACATTTGATTGGTGACTGAAATATGCTATGTTTACTGCATTGATTTTGAACTTGTTTAAG